TTTAGCAGTTTTTTGGAGTTGGTTGGGTAGAGCAATCCTTGGCATAATGCCCTACCTTCCCGCAATTTTGACACTTAGGAGTTCTGCAATCTCTTGCATAGTGGCCATTTCTTCCGCAATTATAACATTGCACGTTTCGCGAGCGGTTAAAATTTCCCCTTCTTTGGAAGGTATTATTATTATTAAAATTATTGAAATTATTTTTTCTTTCTCTCGGAGGGCGTCCCTGATTATTAACAGGAGCTCTTTCGGTCACGTATACTTGTTTGGCAGGAGCGGATGAAGAAGCGACAGCTTTTGTTACTTCATTTAATTTTTCGACGATCATTAACATACTTTTATGAACGTCTTGTTTATCGTCTTCAGTTTCAAACATACGAGCTAATTCGGCGTTTCGAGCTCTTTCGAGAGCATCGCCAATAGTGGCAGGCTCTCCTTGTTGGTAAATAACCAATTTCATTGAATTAGGTAAGCCTTGGATAAATCTATCCACTCTTTCGGCCTCTCCTGGTTCATTTTGTAAATCGTGCCAGTATTCTGCCAATTTCCTAGCATAATCATTTACCGATTGGTCTTTTCCCAAAGTTAATTTATTATACTCGTCGCGGAGTTTCCTCTTTAACGGAGCAGTAATAAATTTTTTGGTAAATTGATGGCATAACGAGCGATCGACATTCCCTTCGTTAGTCCATGCTGCTCCATAGGTTTGATTAGACCACTCAGTTACCCAATCGGCAATGGGCGTAGGTACGATAGAGCATAGGATTTTGATTTTTCTGGCATATTTGTCCACTTTATTCGCGTTAAACCGTTTTTCCAATTCCTCAAGGAATTTTCTCGGATTGGTTTTTCCTTCAATAAATTGAATATCGTAAGGTCGGATATTCTGCTCCATTTGAATAACAGGAGCTTGGAATTTAATTTTCTCCATATTGGTGGTCAAATTGTTTAGAAGCTGTTCGAGCTGTGCCGCTTCCATTATCTGATTTTTTTGTTTGAAGGAAAATGATTGAGGAGGTATTTTTGTAGGAGAGGTTACCGGAATTGTTATTTGAGGTTGAGAAAAAGTTTTTGATTGTGTTTTGCTTTGAGGTTTGCTTGAAGTGCTAGCTATGTTTTTATTTCCACTTGAGCTTGGATGAGTGGAAATGTGAGGGCTTTTATATATTTTATGGGTGTGACAAAGACGTTTTTATGTTGTCCTGTTAACGGAGTATGTTTCTCAGGCGATAAAGTATCTCCCGAGGTATCCGTGTCAATACCCTTTCCCTTACTTTTCTTTTTCTCTTTGTCCTCATTATCCATACTTTCCTCAGAACTAGATTCGGTTTCCGATTCGGTTTCCGAATTTTCGTTCGAGTTCGTGTCGGAATTTATTTTAATAACTTCTCCGTTTTCAGAGGCGTACTCTGCTGCAACATCTTCTTTTTCGCTCTCCTCATTTTCATCTTTGTCTTCGGCATTTGCTACAACTCCTTCGGTGTCAGTATATAATACTATAGGTACCGACGATTTTCCTTGAATATTCTCGTTAGAGAATGGTTTATTCGTTGGAGTTTCTGCTACCGGTTCTTCCTCGATAGGAACTTTAGGGGTTTCGTATGTTCCCATATTGTCAAATCGAGAATATTGTATTGACATAGGAGTTCCCCTTATTGTTGGTACAGGAGTAGTCGATGCCGAGCGACTGTAAGGTATTTGTGGAAAACGGTATGAATAACCATAGCCTGTCGTATCCATAGGAGTACCATAAAGGCTAGTACCAATATTGGATGCGCTCCATACAGGTTGTAACGCCGTTTGAATATTTCTAGCTGTATTAGCTACTTCTGTAGCAGAACTTTGTCCCTGATTAGGGTCTGCTGCATAAGCTTGCCAATCGCTAGTTAAATGAATATCCGAATCTGATTTTCTTTCCGTAGGAGTGACATGAGATGTCGCGGAGAAATATTTATCCATTAAATTGCTTCTTCCGCTGGGTGTCTCAAATGTCGTATTCTCAAGGGAATTATCGAATTCGAGCATTCCTTTGTTAATTGTCGGGGTCGAAAATATTTCATCTCCATAAGTTTCTCTCATATCGTTTTCGACTTGATTGTGGATAAAATTTAATTCATCCTCTGTTAAGTCGGGCAAGTACTTATCCTGTTGGTTTGGTACTGATTTTTCTTTTTTAATAAGTCGATCGAGTATCAAGTACGTATAGTCCCAAGTCTCGGGGTACTTTACGAAACGACATGTATAAATGATTTGGAGAATATTTTCTCGTCGTCTTCTCGACGCCGTTGGAAAGTCAGTGGATTCGAATTTTTCGTATGTATGGTGGGAAGGAATAATATTTCCATTTCCTAAACGTAACCATTCTTGCAAAGGTTCGAGCTTTTTATCAAAACTCTCGGGTGCGGGTCCTTCGCATTTAATGCAACTTTTATCTTCGAATTTTTTATGAATGAAGATAGAATGGTATATGTCTGGAATGAATTTGTGTACGTGACTGTGTCTGATTTGTTCGAGACGCAATTCTTCAGGGGTTTTTGGTCGAATAATATTTTCGATATCCATTTCGTTAAATTGGATTGATTATAGAGTTATTTCAGTTGTTTGGTAAAAGTAACAAAAATTTTACTCTGCCGGTAGGAGGTCATGGGCTTTTTATAATATTTTCGGGCTATGTTGCGCAACACAATGTATCCTCAGGCTATTAACCCTATTGGAATACACTAACAATGCTATCAATTGAGGCGACACTAGTCCACCATTGTGAAATAGCCGTTCTCAAAGATGCAACTTTCCCGGCAGAGCCCCCAATTTGTGAACGCGATAGGCTATATCTGAGGGTTCTTCTCAGTATCGCTTCATGGTTGGGCACTGTGTGGTTAACGATTA